CTTCATATGTCTTTTTGTTGTTGTTGTTGTTGGTCGTGGGGCTTGAACTCTGGGCCTGGTCGCTGTCCCTCAGCTCTTCAGCTCAAGGCAAGCGCTCTACCACTTGAGCTACAGCGCCACTTTTGGTTTTGTGGTGGTTTATTGGAGATAGGAGTCTCATGGTCTCTCCTGCCTGGGCTGGCTTTGAACCACGATCCTCAGATCTCAGCCTCCTGAGTAGCTAGGATTACAGGCATGAGCCACCAGCCCCCGGCATGTCTTTTCTTTTATGGGCAGGTACTAGGGCTGGCGCTCAAGGCCCTTGTGCTGACCCTTAACTTTTTGGCTCAAGGCTGCTTCAGCCACCGCTCTACTTTGTTTTCTTTTTGACGTTTACAACCAGGCTATATTTGAACCATGATCCTCATATCTTAACCTCCAATGTAGCTTGGATTACAGCCATGAGCTACTGATGCCAGGCTGTCATTCCTTTTTTTTTTTTTTTTATTGACAAGGAACTCAACAGCCTCACTTGCTTGGCTGTATTGCTTTGCTCTTCGATGCTTACCTTTCTCTCCCTTACTCTGAGTCATCGATATTTCTGATTATGTCTTTCTATAGTTTAATGTTGCTTTTTTTTTAAAAAAAGAAATAGTAACATGAGGGGAAACAAAGGAGGAGGCAACAATGCTGATAAGAAATGTACTCATTACCTTGCCCATGTAATTGTAACCCCTCTGTACAGTATTTTCACAATAAAAAAAATAGTAACATGAGAAAATAACTCCCTCAAAATGATTTAGAAAAACGTAAGTTTTCCAAACTTGAATTATCTAGAATTTGAACCTGAAAGTGAAGGGCTTTGTGTTTTAATCCTGAAGTTAATCATGTGGAACAGGGTGTTGGCCTTACCACCTTGTATATCCTCTGCATTAGTCATAGTTTGTTTTTTGTTTTTTTGTCAGTCATGGGGCTTGAACTCAGGGCCTGGGCACTGTCTCTAAACTCTTTGTGCTGAAGGCTAGCGCTCTACCACCCTGAGCCACAGTACCACTTCCAGTTTTCTGGTGGCTATTTGGAGATAAGCATCTCAGGAACCTTTCTGTCAGCACTGGCTTTAAACCCTGGTCTTCAGATCTCAGCCTGAACTGCTAGGATTAAAGGTGTGAGCCACCACCCAGGGCTTTGGTCATGATTTTTTTTTTTTCTTTTGTAAAAATGAGATGAACATTTAAACCAACACTACAGTTTGAGCACTCCACACAGAGCACGTACTGATCTGCAGTTGGGGCCTGGAGGCATGGTCCCAGGGCTCCAGCCCCAGTTCTAGACAAAAGGAAAAGCTTGCCCTGGCTTCCACGTGTGTTGGAGCTGGGGGAGGGGGGGAGTCGAAGGGAGGAGGGGAGCCTGAAGACCACGTGCTCAGGAGGCAAGGCGGATGTGGGCTCCGAGTACCAAGTTCTGACAGTGCCCGGGATGCGTGTGTGTGATGGTGTATGTTTGTGTAATGGTGTGTGTGGTGTGTGTGTGATGGTGTGTATGTGTGATGGTGTGTGTGTGATGGTGTGTATGTGTTATGGTGTATATGTGTGTGATGGTGTGTGTGTGATAGTGTGTGTGTGATGGTATATGTGTGTGATGGTCTGTGTGTGTGTGATGGTGTGTATGTGTGATGGTGTGATGGTGTGTGTGTGATGGTGTGTATGTGTGATGGTGTATATGTGTGTGATGGTATGTGTGTGATGGCGTGTGTGATGATGTGTGTGATGGCGTGTGTGTGATAGTGTGTGTGATGGTGTGTGTGATGGTGTGTGTGTGGTGTATGTGTGATGGTGTGTATGTGTGATGGTGTGTGTGTGTGTGTGATGGTGTGTGTGTGATAGTGTGTGTGTGATGGTATATGTGTGTGATGGTCTGTGTGTGATGTGTATATGTGATGGTGTGTATGTGTGATGGTGTGTGTGTGATGGTGTGTGTGTGTGTGATGGCGTGTGTGTGATAGTGTGTGTGTGATGGGTGTGTGTGTGTGATGGTGTGTGTGTGATGGTGTGTGTGGTGTGTGTGATGGTGTGTATGTGTGGTGTGTGTGTGATGGTGTGTATGTGTGGTGTGTGTGATGGTGTGTGTGTGTGATGGTGTATGTGATGGTGTGTGTGATGGTGTATATGTGTGTGATGGTGTGTGTGTGATGGCGTGTGTGATGTGTGTGATGGCGTGTGTGTGATAGTGTGTGTGTGATGGTGTGTGATGGTGTGTGATGGTGTGATGGTCTGTGTGTGTGTGTGTGGTGTATGTGTGTGTGATGGTGTGTGTGTGATAGTGTGTGTGATGGTGTGTGATGGTGTGTGTGTGATGGTCTGTGTGTGTGTGTGGTGTATGTGTGTGTGATGGTGTGTATGTGTGATGGTGTGTGTGGTGTGTGTGTGATGGTGTGTATGTGTGATGGTGTGTGTGTGTGGTGTGTGTGTGTGTGATGGTGTGTATGTGTGATGGTGTGTGTGTGTGTGTGTGTGTGTGATGGTGGTGGTACTGAAGCAGTCAGCGGGACCCTCGGCTGGGGTCAGAGACCCCGACGGTGACTGTGCGTGCTGGGGGGAAGGAACCGCCCCAGGGGCTGTGTTGGTAATGAATTCGCCGTCCTCTGCAGGCCTCGCCCCTCGCACCACCGGGAGATCACAACTGGACCTCAAGGGCGTAGAACTCTTCAGTACGTTAATCCGAGGCTGGGCACGAGCCTCGGCGCTGCGGGGGCGGGACATCCGGAAGGGCGGGTCTCCATCCCGGGAGCCCGCCTCTTCCTCCCCCGTGGCTGGCGGTCAGGGGCAGTTGGCCCCGCCTCTGCTCCACCCTCCGACCAATAATTGGTCAAGAGGCACTGGCCGGAAGAAGCTCCGAGCCAGACAGTCTTTCCTCCTTTGAAGTTTTCTCGAGACAAATCGAACCTGGTCTTGAATCAAAGTAAAAATACAGCCTGGAGCCGGCGGCTGGTGCCTGGCAATCCTCCCGAGGCGGAGATCTAAGGAGCACAGTTTGAAGCCAGCAAGGCAGGCAAAGTCCCCGAGATTCTCCAAGGAATCACTAATGAATCTCCGATTCATCACCAAAAGAAAGGCTGCCAGAGGAGCCGTGGCTTATGTGGTAGAAGCCCTGGGGCGGTTCCCAAGCCCCAGTGAGTTCAGTCCCCAGGATCCACATATACAACAACAATAATAAAGGAAAAATACTGCGTGTGTGTGTGTGTGTGTGCGTGTGTGTGTGTGTGTGTGGTTTAGAGGCTGGCACTCTGCTTCAGGAAGGTACTCTACCCCTTGAGCCACACCCTAGACTATAAAATGAATTATTACAAACTCCTAAATTAGCTTGCTGGAGAGGGTGGTGACTGGCTAAATACAGAAAGTTTCCATTTAGGATTGTTATTAAAAACTCGGCAGGTAGTGCACAGCTAGGATGGAGGCAGGAGATTTCAAGTTTGAGGCCAGCTTAACCCGAGGGAGGGAGGAAGGTTGTGTGTGGAAACTGAGCCAAAACACCTGACTTTTTTTTTGGGGGGGGGGTGTCAGTCTTGGGGCTTGAACTCAGGGCCAGGGAACTATCCAGAGCTGTTTTTGCCTAAGGCTACCACACTACCATTTTGAGCCACAGCACCACTCCTGTTTTTCTGGAGGTTCACTGGAGATTAGAGTCTCACGGACTTTCCTGCCCGGGGCTGGCTTTGAACCGGGATCCTCAGATCTCAGCCTCTTGAGTAGCGGGGATGACAGGCATGAACCACCGGCGCCCGGCTAGAAGACAGGTACTTGGGGGTTTTCGCCTTCTGTTTAAAGGGCAGCCAGACATCTACGTCATAACGACCCACGTTTAACCGAGCAGACTTGCTCTCTCTGCCCGATCGACAAGGTGATGTAACCAGAGTTATTAAAACATGCCAGGTGTCCAGAAAAAAAAAAAAGGGTGAACGTCTCCCAGGGGCGGTTTCTACCTCCCCGATAGCAAACGGGGAGGGGGGTGAGCGGGAGGGGGGGTGTGCATCCGGCTCCCGCCCGCCTTCGGCTTGCTTCTGGTCAGCACCGCTGCCCAGGCTGCTCTGTGGCTCGTCTGCGCTAATGCTCGTCCAGGACCGGGACAGGGCCTAAGCCGGGCCCGGAGGTCCACGGGCGGCTGACCGTCCCGCAGGGACCCCGGCGGAAGCACCGCGGGGCGGGCTGCGACGCGGTCCCCGTCTTGGGCGGGTGGAATCCAGCCACCGCGCGCTGCGTAGACCAGGGGGGGGCCGGTAGCTCGCCGCTTCCTCCCGCGCACCGTGCGGGCTCTGGGAAGCGGGCGCGATCGCCACGCAGGACGCCGTCCCTAGGGCCCGCAGAGCCCGGCCCGCCCGGCCGCCTTCACTGCCGGGAATGTTCCAGACGACCGGAAGGGCTGCGCGGCACCCCGGGAAGGCCCCGGGCGGGGCGGGGGACCCCCGAGGTCACGGTACAGATCAGGACAGTGGTCACGGGGAGACCCGGGGTGGGGGGCCCCGAGGTCACGGTGCAGATCAGGACAGGTCACGGGGAGGCCCCGGGCGGGGGCCCCGAGGTCACAGTGCAGATCAGGACAGAGGTCACGGGGAGGCCCCGGGCGGGGGCCCCGAGATCACGGTGCAGATCAGGACAGGGGTCACGGGGACACCCGGGCAGTCGCCCCGCTCCTTGGATGGACACGCCCCCCATTCCTACTTTCCGAGGACCAGGTCAGGCCTCTGGTTCGGTCCCCCGCGGGGCGCCGGGGCCACAAGCCAGCGGGACCGCAGACGGCGCGGACGTCCCCCGCGAGCTGGGGAGGCCAGGCAGCCGCAAAGGACGGCGGCAGGAGGCCGCGGTCCGGCCGAGCCCGGCTCGTCTCCACGCGCACGCGCAGACCCGAACCTCGCGACCACACGGGGCAGGGCGGGGCAGGGCGCGCGGGGCGGGGCCAGGGCTCGCCACCCGGCGTGGTGACGTCACGGCGGAGGCGCACGCGGCGTGAGGCGCCGCGCCGGGGCCGCTGGTTAGTCTGGTTTCGGGTTCCGGCTGCGTCGGGCGTGCGTGCAGCTCGCGGAGACTATGGCGTCCGGGCCTCACCCGACCTCCACCGCCGCCGCCGCCGCCTCGTCGGCCGCGCCGAGCGCGGGCGGCTCCAGCTCGGGCACGGCGACCACGACGACGACGACGGGAGGGATTCTGATCGGCGACCGCCTCTACTCGGAGGTGTCGCTCACCATCGACCACTCGCTGATCCCGGAGGAGCGGCTGTCGCCCACCCCGTCCATGCAGGACGGGCTGGACCTGCCCAGCGAGACGGACCTGCGCATCCTGGGCTGCGAGCTCATCCAGGCCGCGGGCATCCTCCTCCGGCTGCCGCAGGTCGGTGCTCCGGCCGGCCGGGGCTGGGCTCGGGCCCGCCGGCCCCGGGGGAGGGGCGGCGACCGGGGCCCTCGGCTCGGCCGGGACCGGGGGAGGGGGAAAGTGACCGGCCGGGGGCGATCGAGTGTCCGGGCTCGGTCCGGTGGGCGGGAGGCCCGCGGCGGGCGGGCGGGGAGCGAGCGAGCGAGCGGCGGCGGCGGGCGCACAAAATGGCGGCGGCGCGGCGGGCCCGCCTGACCCCGCTTCCGGTCTCCCTTGTCTGCAGGTGGCGATGGCGACGGGGCAGGTGCTGTTCCACCGCTTCTTCTATTCCAAGTCCTTCGTCAAGCACAGCTTCGAGGTAAGCGGGCAGGCGGGGCGCGGGGCGCCGCGACCTCGCACCGGGCGCGGCGGCGCGGCGGTGGCGGCTTTGTGCAGCCCTCGCGGGACGGGCCGCCGGGGCCGAGCCGGAAGACGGACCCGGAGTCCACGTGGCCGAGGGGCGCGGACAGCGCGCGACCCTCTGGGGGGGGGGGGGGACCTGGGAGTTGAGTAATAGAGTGGCTTTCTGGAGGCTGAGGTCTGAAGGCCGCGGTTCGAAGCCAACCCTGGCAGGAAAGTCCGTGAGGCTCTGATCGATAAGGAGCCGCTCGGCAGAAGCGCAGAGTCGCGCTGTGGCTCAAGTGGTGGAGCTCTGGTGTCGAGCATAAGAAAGTTAACGGCGCCTAAGCTCTAGTACCGAAAGCTGGTACTCCACCCGGTCCCTAAACGCGTAGTTTTAGTTCACCAAAGATGGTCCCACCGAGTTCTAAAGCTTTTGGATAAGTTCTGCGATTTGGAGGAAAAAATATTTTCCTTTCCTCGCGTTTACTTTGTGACATGGGAGTTAAAACAGTCATTTTTTATTTCCACAGATTGTTGCCATGGCCTGTATTAACCTTGCATCAAAAATCGAAGAAGCTCCCAGAAGGATAAGAGATGTGATCAATGTATTCCACCACCTCCGCCAGTTAAGAGGAAAAAGGTAAGATTGGCGTGACTGACATTAGTAACCCTGTTGCTACTGCTAACTAACTGCACCATCATCAAAACATCTTTTCTCTCAAGTCAGTTCAGAAGCAAAGCAAACTGACTCTAGGTGTTGAAATTCACATAGGAGTACCGATGTTTAATTTGGAAAAAAAATAAAACCCACCCAAACACCCAATTAACCAGCTATCTGAAGTTTGTAGAGGCAGTTGCGTTTGTGGACAATCCTAGCAGTGCTGTGAAGCCAGTCCATTGGCTTAAGATAAAACAAGAAAGAAAGGGAGTACGTTGGGCTCAAGTGTGAGTGTATTATGTAAGTTATTTTTCCCCTCTCCTCTTTGGAAGACTGAAGGCTGGCTGTTCAAGCACTGTAGCTCAAGTTAATATTGTGGCAAGGTTCTGCATAGGTTGTCTTCTCTAAGTCCAAATGATGTGTCGATTGAGGTTGGCTCTTGTTAGAACTTCACTGAACTACCTACACCCTAACGCATCTGAAGGACTGAAAGGATGATAAAGTTTGAAGGCAAAAGGGATTAAACAGGTATTTTGTTTGGGTCAGATGCGGTCAAAGTGGGTTAAAACTCAAGATTGGGTTACTTTTGGATATGGCCCACTTACATATATATAGAGAGAGAGTCCGAAACAGTGCCCACTTTGAGGTGGTGTAATAACCATAGCTGGGCACCCCTTTTCTGTATTTACAATGACTTTGTCTATAGTGCTTGCTGCCCAAGTGCAGGAGTGCTTGTGTAGATGAGATCTGGGGGGCTTCCCAGCAAGGGGCGGTGAGTTCCCAGTCCTCCTGCCCAAAGCTGTGTCGCAGTGATGGAATTACCCAGCCAGGCAGATGCTAAAGTCATTTTCAGATGAGTGCCCCGCCTGGGACATGGCCACAGATGCTGCTGAAAGCATTTCTATCCCTGTGTTGAGGAATAGGGTAACTTAGTTTACTAACTGCCTTTAGTCTTTGTTGTAAGGAATCCTTAGAAATGGGAAGTCTTCAAACTGGTACTTAGATGGTCTGAGCTTAAATTTGTACTTTAAGATGTCTTCAAGGTGTTTTTCATAATAGGCTCTTGAGGATGGTGTTTGTTTGAAGGAGGTTTTCTGGTAGTATTAGAGTCATTGAGCCAGCTGCTATGTAATCCCATGGTTGTCTTTTTTTTTTTTTTTTGAGTTTTCCTGACAGGCTTGTTTCCTTCTTTGATGTCAGAATAGGATTGTAACTAAAACATCTTGGAATCTAAAATAATCCCATCTTACTGACTTGGATGTAATCCCATTTTTTGGTCATTATTTCTGAGAAATTAACTTTGTTTCAATCTTAGTCTGATGATAGCATGAAACTTTTTAAAGGAGTTAATTGCATGGAAGCTCTTTTTTTAAAACAAAAGCAGGATATAAGTGTTTCTATGCATATTACAAGTTTACTCAGACACGTAGCTTGTATATGTTATTAACTTCAACTCTTTTTTCCCTTGCAACCGACTATACAGCGACCAGCTACATTTACCAAAGCCTGGGTGATGTGGAGTGGTACATAGAGATGAAGCTGTCGTCATGGCAACAGTGAGTGAAGTATCGAAAATCCCCAAGGAGAAGCCAGTGCTCTGAGAATAGGTCACTGGAATCGGGGACTAACAGGTTGGCCACTGGTGAACCATTTAGAAAAACTCCTGTTTCTTGTTAAAAGCTTTGTCTTTGCTGTCCAAGTTATTACAACAATAGCTTCATGCTTTTTGTTACAGGTTGTCACTAGAAGTACTGTCAAAATGAAAATTTAGTTAGGTGAAGCATTGCCAGTTTGTCTTGATGCTGTTTTTTAGTCTAGTTTGTGCATAACTGTAATTGTGTGACCTTGAGCATTACATGGACTTAAGACTAAAGGCTTTATTTAGACCATCATTTCCAGTCTTGGCTCCGCACTGAAGTCACCTGGCGGTTTTAAAGAAAAGTGCCGGTGCCTGATCGTTTACCTGGCTTACTACGGCCTCTTCTTCATGTTTTTGTTGTTTGGGGCCTAGTGTTCTCTTGCTTAGCTTTTCCCAAAGACTGATGCTTTACTCCTTGAGTCACATCTCCACTTAAAGCTTTTTACTGGTTAATTGGAGATAAGTCTCGCAGACTTGCCATTCCAGGCCAGTTTCAAACCACCATCCTTGCATCTCAGCCTCCTGAGTAGCTTGGATTCCGAGTGTGAACCATTGGCACCTGGCTTCCCCCTTCAATTTTTGGGTAGTTTGGTGACTCTTTTTAAAGTTCAGGGCACATGGCCTTAAGGGGAAATAAACATGTTCCTTTGATTAGTTTACATATAATTAGCGATATTAATTAGTGATATATTTTAGTGCACTTGCAGTAAATTAAAGGGTTTCATTTGTTTTTTTTTAAAGGAGCCATATTCATGAAAATTGTCTAACAGATCAATTTTCAAAGACTTTCAATCATTCTCACTGATGACAATGTTGTATTTCAACATGTAAACTATAAACACTACGTGGTTACTGCTCCAACCACCTGTAATTATTTTTGTGACTGCAGAGGGCCTTGCGATCACTTGGTCCCTCTAGGGGAAGGCCCTACTTGAGCAGCAAAGTGAGTAGCAGCCTGGGGCCCATCTTGTTTAAGTGTGGTTTCTTGAAATAATTGCTCCAAAGTCTGTCTTTAAAATACACAAGCAAAACTAACCATGTTTGGAACTCTTTAATTCTGATTTTTGTTTGTTTTGCTATATTTCAATCTTGCTAAAAGTTACCAGGAACTTCAACAATGACCAAGATTTCTTAAAAGTTGGAGATTGTTCTCACATGAATTAGCAAAATCAAGGGTTAGAAATCAGAAATCTCCAGGGGTTGTGAGTTCAAGCAGTGGAGTACAAATCCCTGAGTCCAATCAGTTCCTCACCTCCTTCAGCCTTAAGCTGAGGAGGAGGGTTTGGCAGGTAAATATTATTAAATTTCTCCAGAGATTTAAAATTTCCTTGTATTGACAAGTTCTCCATTGGGGAGAAAATGGGAGCAAGCCTTCATTCAATGTATTGCCATAAAATGTACTTTGATACTTTGTTGTGCTAATTAATACTTTGTAAAGTTAAGTCTTTCTCTGGAATCTATTTGTTACTTATTTCTGGAGGTATTTTTCTGTTCTTGCTAACCAATTTTTGTAAGGTAGTTGTAAAACTTGTTTGAATCTTGATTTCTGAACAAAATAACAGTATCAGTTTATATATCTATTATACAAAGTAACTTTAGAAACTACAGGTTCTACCACAACCGGGCAGGAATTTTAAGTATGTAATTGAATTATAGTAACAAAATAGGTTTTGTTTCTCAACCTGTTTTTCATGTTGTTTTCTGTTGTGCTGATGGATTCAGGTCTAGCTTGTCGGGCACGGCCTGTACCACTTTTAAGTTGTATGTGCCTTAAGTTTCTTCAAGCTGTTTTTAAAGTTGCAATTTTTGGTAAATGCCAAAAAAGCTACACAATGATTAAGGCAGAGTGGGATGGAACAATAATTGAAGCAGAATGATCTGAAATTCATTAGTGATGAAGCCTGATTTGGGACTAAACAGTAGCCACAGTTGAACCCAGTTGAACCCTGTTTGATTCCTAGAGGAAGTTTCATCACTATTAAGGGCTACTTTTGAAGCATACTTTTTAGTATGGTGTAAATAATTTTGATCAATGTAAATATAGAAAAATGAGATAGAGCTTTTTTACATTCCTATAGAGGGGTTTTGGTAGAGCCTTCATTTCCTAATGCTAATTGAAGGGAAAGTCACTCGTTGAGTCTGAAGTGGATTTTTCCAGCTACTTTGCACAGATAAAACTTGGAAAATTGTAAACATAAAGTCTTTGGAATATGCTGCTGCTCTCATTTGTATTGTTTAATTTCTTTTTCTAAAGAGCCTTTATAGCCTTTTATTCAGGCAGCCCATGCCCCCTCCTTGGTCTTGGTTCTCCATTTGCTCCTTTTGTGGCTATACCAGGAATTGAGATTTTAAGTAACAACTATGCTCTCATTATTTTGTTAGCTCTGCCAACTTTTGCTTAATGTAACTTGACAAAAATTGTATGGAATAACTAGTCTGGTAAGCATTCTACTTAATAAATTTTGATAAAGTAAGTATGGTGATAACTTGTCACCAGAGCAGTTGGTGACACAGCTCACTTCTAGTTGATTTCTAATGCACTGTCTGCAAATATTAAGATTGCAGTTTTCTGAATCTGTGTGCATTAAGATAAGGATTCAGACTGAATATACCATGTTCTGTCCTAACCAAAAAAAAAAAAGTAATTTGGCTTAAAATGAATTGAGTGTATGTAGAATATTTTTATGTAATCAATGTAATTAAAATGCACTTCTTATTGGTAAGATCAAAGAATGTATCGAGGGACATGGTAATTTCATAGACTTAAAAAGACATGTTCTGTAATATTACTTCACTTAAAACCAGTTTTAAATTATGAGACAAACTGGTCATTGTGGCCCTTACCTGTCAGTCCCAGCTGATGCAGTAGGATAACAGGATTGAGGCCAGGTTGGGCCACATAACAAAATCAAGTTTTCAGAATAAAAGATTGTGGGTTTTCTGTAAATGATAGGATTTTTACAAGAGCCACGTGAAACAGTGACCTTCCTGTTTGCTGACAGCAGGTGTGGTTGGCACAGTGGAGACTTGAAGATAACTGAGGCCTGCCTGCAGGATTTAGACTGAACGAAAGGCCGTCATTTCCTGAGCAATGGCCACGCACAAGTGTTACACTGGAGCAGAGCTTTAGCTGACCAAGTCAGGCTTTGGTTTTATAAGTCTTTTTTAACCTTAAACCTGATCAAGGCTATTTTCCTTGACAAGTTGAGCTGAATCTTTGATTTTTAAGACTTGCAGCAGAAGCATATTCTTAGAATAATTGGTTTAAACCAATTGGCTCCCAAAGGAGATCAGATTTAGCTATACTAGTTCTTATTTTGTCTAAAAAACTAGCCAAGGGTTAATATTTTATAACATTATTGTGACTTAAGACTATTGTAAATGCATCAGAGTACACATTAGTATTTGTCATTGGAGGGATGGCATCTAACAAGTTTGTGAATAGTACATTAGCCATGTCAACTCTAGTTATTGTGAGAATTTGAGATGAGAAATAACAAAGATTTCCAGTGTTCTCCCCCGACCCTTGCATTAAATCTGAGTTAGTGTGTTAGGAACTCAGGCCTAGATAATAGCATAACTTGGACAGCACAAGATGAATGCTTTAACTTGTTCCCAGGAGTTTAGAAAAGCTGGTTTCTGTTGCCAATAGTTGGTTGGAAGGGAAAATGGAGCTGCCACAAATAAAATTTTTGGATGTGCAAAACAGTTTTGATTTTATTTCTTACAAACCAGGACTCCAAGCCCTCTGGTCCTTGACCAGAACTACATTAACACCAAAAACCAAGTGATCAAGGCTGAACGGAGGGTGCTGAAGGAGCTGGGGTTCTGTGTCCATGTCAAGCACCCCCACAAGGTGAGTGGAGACTGCTGGGCTAGTTCGTAAGTATTGGGCTTTTCCAAAAATTGAGTTTTGCTTGTCTTCAAAAATGGAAGAGCTTAGATGCTGACATGGGGCCGGTAGGCGTGAGAATGCGGGCTTCCCAGTGGGACCGTGGGAAGTACTTTTCTGCTTTGTGATTGAGTCCCACCTTGCTCTGAGGAGTGACCACATGAGCACCTGGCACACCACCTGCTGCTCTGGTGTGATAGCAGCTCACTGGGTGAAGCCTTGGCCCTGTCAGGACACATGGACACACTTGTCTGAGGGAGTGATTTGCCTGTACACCAGAAAGCTTGACAGAAGCCAAGGCCCTTCTATAACTGTAACCCCTTGTATAGCATCTTTTTATGTAATAAAAATAAAAAGTAAAAAAGTCTCTGACTTTGGGACATGTAAAATATATGCTGAGAAATTGGGTGTAATTAGCCTAGCACTGTACCCACACATAGTAAAGTGCCTGGCTCTATGTTCTTACTAATTGAATCAGTGGCTTTTTTTCTCTGTACTTCACGTGCTTTAAAATATGGAATTTAAAAAAATCTAGTCACAACTCACCAATGCCTGTTGGTCTTTATTAGCTGCAGTTCTCAGATTCAAAACGTGTATCTAGTGCTTTTTACTGTTTTATTCATCGAGCTTACTCTGAAAGAAGTACCAGCTAAGTTGGATGTTTTCCTTTTCCTTCAGATCATTGTAATGTATTTACAAGTACTAGAGTGCGAACGTAACCAAACCCTCGTTCAGACTGCCTGGTAAGTTGCTTTTTTACATTGCTTTTGTAGTCAGGAAAACAGAAGCAGAAATAAAGTAAGTTTCATTTTCTCTTTCTAAAATAATGAGATAAGTTTGTTTTGGGGCTTTTTGTTTTTTTGTTTTGTTTTTGACCAAAAGGTAAATAATGCTTATTTCTGCTTCCTGTTTTCTTGGCTTGACTAATTACTTTTAATGGAGAACTCAATTTAACTTTGTTCTTTTTTCTACTCTTTAATTAAAGGGTAGTCCCTGATGGTAAGTCATAGAGCTCTGCCCTCTGCACTTCAGCCCATGACCTCAGGATGGCCTGATTGGCTGCCCTGCTCTCCAGCCAATCCAGTGCAAGCTCTCATCCGAGATTCACTGAAGTGGTCCATATCCATCTGGCAGCATCTTCTAGTTCTGTCGGGGTGTCAAAAGGATTTGTATATTTGCTTCTAGAAGTAACTATTCAACATGCCTGTGTATTTAATGTATACCTGTAACTATCAAAATGAATAGTTCATTTTTGATATTGTCCAGCGATTATGCATTAAAATTGTTTTTTGTTTTTTTGTTTTTTTAATTAGAGGTTTGACTAAATTTCTACTTAGGTGTGTATAGTTGAATTCTACTGAAAGAGGCTACAGCCTTCAGCTTTAAATGGGCAGCAGTCCCCATTTTGGGTTGATTTACAGATGCTGGGCTGTTGTAGGCAATGATGTTACTAGAAGGACTTCATTTCTAAGAAAGAGAAGTTCATATTACCTGACTGCTACTGTTAATTTGGATCTTTGCGATTCAGGTACATGAGTGACTGTCTACAGTCAAGCCAGGAGGTGTGGTTCACCCATACCTCTTTCACAAGACTGTTGATATGCAAGATAAGTGATTTTATGTTCTGGACATTTCCAGCAAGATACCTTTTGGATTCAGTAAATATTAGTAACGCTAGAATAGCTTCATTGTTTCATGAAATGTGTGACTATTTTAATGTGTTCAATGAAACATTTATGGGTATAAGAATTTTCAAGAACTCCATTAATTCTAGTTCAAGCTTTTAAACAACTGTAGTAAGTTCTGTAGAGGGTGGGCTCGGATGAAGTCGTTTACTGTTTTTGTTGGGGGAAAAAAAGGTATGTAAACTAGAGCTTTAATTTATCTTTACCACTGTTCTTTTCTTTCCTACCTAGGGTTTTTGAAGCAATTTTTTAATTTAATGTAAATTGGTGGGTTCTTGCTTAAAATGCCTTTTTACCCCTGTCACAGTATTTTGAATTTTTGAAAGAACTTGGTTGACACTGCTTTTCATTGTGGATAAAGGAGAGATGGTCAATAATTCATGGCTTGAAGTATTGTTGGAGTGGTTTATGTCATTAATGAAGCTTATGTCATTAACGAAAAGTCAGTTGACTTTTAAAACATTACATTAAAAGAAAGTCTTAAGGGTAAGTTTCATTTGGACAGTAATAAAAATGACAGCTTTCATCCTACATAAGATAACTCAAGAATGGCCTTTGTACGAAGTTATTGCTGATTTTTTTTTAACAAGTTAATTATATGCTAGAGTATGAAGTTGTGAATATAGAGAAGAAAAAAGAATGAAGTAGATTGAGTCTCCAACTTTATGTAAGCTCCGGCTTGTTTGTGTGCACAGCTTACAGTGAACATCTTTTTCAGGAATTATATGAACGACAGTCTGCGGACCAATGTTTTTGTTCGCTTTCAACCAGAGACTATAGCATGCGCGTGCATCTACCTGGCGGCCAGGGCTCTCCAGGTAGGTGTGGTGCCTGGCCCTTGAGTGACTGTTGAGAATCAATGCATCATTTCAGGGCTTCTGACAGGAACTAGCACAGATTCACCCATTCTCTCTCCATTGTAGATCCCACTGCCCACTCGTCCCCACTGGTTTCTTCTTTTTGGCACTACAGAAGAGGAAATTCAAGAAATCTGCATCGAGACGCTTCGGCTCTACACCAGGAAAAAGGTGACTTCTGTTTACTTAAGTTGATGTTCCAAGTCTCTTAAACACTACGAGAGTGAAATACTGACTTCCCTTTTCTCCAACAGCCTAACTATGAATTGCTAGAAAAGGAAGTAGAGAAGAGAAAAGTAGCCTTACAGGAAGCCAAGTTGAAAGCAAAGGGACTGAATCCAGATGGGACCCCAGCCCTCTCCACCCTGGGCGGCTTCTCCCCGGCCTCCAAGCCCTGTAAGTGTTAGACGCTGGCACTGAGGGAAGCTGAGGGCGGGGAGGTCACTGCAAACTGGAAAAGTTTTTAGCTTGGTAACAGTTACTCAGAAACAATGTTGCCGCTTTCTGACTATCACAAAGCTGGCAGGGTTGAGGAAGGCATGATGGTTGGGAGTCCTGCTGAGATGGGTTGGGCCCTCTGTTAAACCAGTATGGAATTCATTTGCGGCTCTGTCTTTTAAAGCGTCACCTAGAGAAGTAAAAGCCGAAGAGAAGTCTCCGGCATCCCTCAGTGTGAAGATGGTCAAAAAGGAGCCTGAGGACAGACAGCAGGCTTCCAAAAGCCCTTACAATGGGTGAGTGCTTAAGCGTGGCTTTGAGGGATCTTGTAGTGTTCATCTAACAGTGATGCTAAAATGTGTGTGTGCTTTGCCAATCCTGGGGCTTGAACTTGGGCCCGGGTGCTGTCCCTGAGCTGCTTTTGCTCAAGCCTAGCATTCTACTACTTGAGCCCCAGTGCCACTTCTGGCTTTTTCTGTATGTGGTACTGAGGAATCAAACCCAGGGCATCATGCTAGGCAAGCACTCTACCACTGAGCCACATTCCCAGCCCACTGAAATGTTTTGTTTTTCCCCCAGTGTAAGAAAAGACAGCAAGAGAAGCAGGAACAGCAGAAGTGTGAGTCAGTCCAGGTCACGGACGCGGTCCCGGTCTAGATCACACACGCCACGAAGACAGTAAGTAGATCCTACCAACAATCCTATTTGGGACTCTTTAAAGCTTACGGATTTGTTTTTTCCAAGGTTAAGCTAGGATTAGGCTTCTTTTTGGGGTGCTATTGGGGTTTGAACTCAGGGCCTTGGGCTTTGCAAGGGCTCTGTGGTTTGGGCCATGCACCCTAGCATTTTTGTTTGTTAATTTTTAAATAGGGTCTTGCATTTGTTTATTCCCAGGCTAGCCTGGACTGCAGTAATGCTGTTTGCACTTACAGGAAGCTCGGACAACAGGCCAGCTCCTTCTCCCTCCCCCATGCTCTTTCGCATTGGTTTGTCTTATTATCAGAGTCTTGATTTCCTCCTGAATGCTGGCCTTGCCGGCAGCTGAGCCCACCTTTTAGGGTTAGGTCTTGTTAAACACCAGATCAGTGAGGAGAAGTGAGCTGGATGTGGTGGTGGGGGTGCACCGGGGGGTTGTTGGTTTTCAAGCGGAGTGTTGTGATGGAGTGGTTTTTCCTCTTTTGGAGGAGAAACAGTACTGTGGATGTGCATGTGCGTAATCTCACAATGTGAAACCATTTTTAACGTGAACATTTCTTCACTGGTTAGCTTTAGGAATAGATTGCAAGCTCTTGTGACTGTCTGAGCTTGTGGGAATGTAGAGCAAAGGCTGTAGGAGGTTATTCCCTGTGTTGGGACACTGGGAAGGAATGACGCGTGGTAGGGAGGTGGAGGGGGACATCTGGCCTGTTGTCCTTGATGGTAGTCCGTTGCTTTGAACCTGTTAGTGAACAACAGTGGGTATCATTGGCCTCTGCAGAAACCGAGTTAAACTGTGAATGTTTGTTCCCAAGTTACAACAACAGGCGGAGCCGCTCAGGGACATACAGCTCGCGCTCCCGCAGCCGGTCCCGCAGCCACAGCGAGAGCCCCCGGCGCCACCACAACCACGCCTCTCCCCCTCACCTGAAGGCCAAGCACACCAGAGACGACTTAAAAAGCTCCAACAGACACGGCCACAAGAGGAAAAAGTCCCGTTCTCGATCCCAGAGCAAGTCTCGTGATCATTCCGACGCTGCCAAGAAGCACAGACATGAGCGCGGCCACCACAGGGAGCGGCGGGAGCGGTCACGCTCCTTCGAGCGGTCGCACAAGGGCAAGCACCACGGCGGCAGCCGCTCGGGCCACGGCAGACACCGGCGCTGACCCTGCGGCCAGGTGTGCGGACTCAACCCCAAGTGATTAGGATTCGATTGCTTCAAACTAGGTCTCTAGAAACATGGAAGACATTTGCTTTCGAAAAGAACTATGTTGAAATTCTTTTGCACATTAAAATGCCCTAGCAGTATCTAATTGCAAACCATGGTCAGGTTCGATTGTACTTTATTATAGTTGTGTATTGTTTATTGCTATAAGAACTGGAGCGTGAATTCTGTAAAAATGTATCTTATTTTTATACAGATAAAACTGCAGACACTGTTCTATTTAAGTGGTTTATTTGTTTAAATGATGGTGAATACTTTCTTAACACTGGTTTGTCTGCATGTGTAAAGATTTTTACAAGAAAATAAAATACAAATCTTGTTTTTCTAAACTGCTTCAGATCTTATTTAAATAAATTATTATTAAAAGGCACGATTTTCAGGTAGCAGAATGGCTGTATTGGTTTTTCTGAGAAACCCGTTTTTCAGTTGGAGTTGGTGTGGTTAGGGGATTCTTTTCTGCCTTGTGAGCTACTTGTCTGGCCAACAGTCACAAGAAGTTTAAAACCTGACTCACTTCCTTAAATGGTACCAAGAGATCCTTTTAAAGTTAGTATATACTAATTCTTTTTGGGCAGGGGACCTGTGTTTGAACTCAAGACCTTAGACTTCCTAGACAGTACTTCGCAGGTACCACCCCTGATGGTAAGTACTAGTTCTAACATGGACCAGTTTTCACAGCAGCACTCTCAACATGACAGTAAATGTGGCCCGACCATTTGAGATTGAGCGGTGGCTCTGAGGCTGACCGGGCAGTTAAACCCATGAAGAGGAGGAGAGGAGCAAGCCCAGACTCCCAGGCAAGCAGCTTACTTTTCTTCCATGTTGGGCCTGAATTAATTGAGAGGATTTTTTTTCTGGCCTACTTTGTTTACTTAGCTTTGTCTACCAGACTTGGATCCAGATGAGTTACTGTTACAAAGTATCAGATAGTACCCACTAACTCTTTAAGTGTGTGTATGGGTGAGGGAGGGGCAGTGTTGGTCCTGGGGCTTTGAACCTAGGGCTTGGACGCTGTCCTTGATCTTTTGTGCTCTACCACTTGCCACAACTCTCAGCTTTTTGGTGATTAATCCGAGCTAAATGTTACGTTTGGATTTTCCTGCTCAGGCTGGCTTGGGTGATCCTCAGATCTCAGCCTCCTGTATAGCTAGTATTATAGGCTTGAGCCAGTGGTGCCTGGCTAAAGATGTTGTAATTTGAGTATTCTGAACACTGGTTAACATGTTTTCCACAGTAGCCGTGGGGCTGCAAAACAGAGGTCGCTTCACCACACAGGGCTTTGGGTGAGGCCCAACAGCATTTGGGTAGAAAAGTAATTTTGAATTATGAAAACAGCAGTGTGCTAGCATGAATTAGTAACAAGGTGACTCGAAAGACTAGACAGTTCAAGACTTGTTTGCACTTTTTTTTTAACCTGCACACAAATAGTAACCCATTTATGGGGAGCGGGGGGTGCTATGTGGTCATTTAGTTCATGTGGGGTTTTTTTGTTGCTCAATTTGCTTACAAATCGATATTTCTGAGGAACTTAAAACTGTTTTGAAATTAAACTGCTTAAAGATGGGAAAAGCCAGGTTTTTAATAGTTTCTTTGAATAAGCTTTGCCCTTGGAGTAAGTAGTAGGTGAGGATTGTTTGGGGTCATGGGATCCCTGCAGGTATGAGGTGAAGTATTATTACAGTGTTTAGAAGGGTATACAGGTGTTAAGTCGTTCTCTGGTAAGAGTTCTAGACAACTGGAGAAACATGTTTTCAATAGAAGTTCTAGGTACAGTGCCAGATTGATTCCTTAATGTAATCCTGTGTTTTTTATAATTGTTTTATTGAAACAAATGTTCACTGGCTTTAGTCAAAGTATTGAAAATACTGTGTAATATTAACTTGCTGGTATGTGCATAGGTATATGTGGGTTCCATGTTTAGACCTGGTACCTGAATCACGAGAACTCGTTATGTGCATGTATCCTGACTTAGGGAAGACTTGTGAAGAATTCCTATATTCTGGATTGCTCAGCTGGTAACATTACCCTTATTTGCTCCCTGTACTTGAGGTGGTTTTATGTCCCTAGAAACAAGGGCACTATCTTACCCACAATGCAATGAGTAACATCAGCTCATGGACTTCCTGACCAACACTGTAATCTGCCAGTTGTATTTATAGCAAACTCTCCTGTGTGCCCTCGGCAGTCCCAGATCAAACCAGAGTGGCATGTTGCCTATAACTGTACTATCTGTAATTATGCATATTTATGACCACCATTTAACTCACATATACAGCTATGAAATCAGGCTAATGTACAGAGTAAACCAGCTGCTTACCAAGTGTTTCCTGACTGATTAGGTAGGTGGGTTTTGTGGTGTAGGCAGGATTGTCACCGAAGTGAGCTTTTCTCAGTGCATTATACTGAGTCCAGAACACTGGTTTGTACCATTCATTATTTGTGTCCTGTCACCAGGGAAGGTGCTGACAGTTGATAAAAATGTTGCTGATTTTCCTTTTTG